GCCTAAGTGGATCCCCCTGGGATCGCCGGTATAACCTAACCTAACCTAGTTTGGTAACTATAATTATTTTTATAGTTTAAATACTCTACCAAAACTCTACAACAGTGTGTAGTACATAATTTTTTATTAATATTTATCAGAATCAATTATATTCATGATATTTACAGTGTTAATTATTTTGCGGTTATTATTTGAAACTTATAATTTATTTAGTAATAATAGAAAGCAATAAAAATACTAATAATGTATAATAATGTATAGTGTATAGTGAACGCCTCATTACATTAATTGCACTATCTAGTGATGTGTACTCTATCAGATGTTACAACATTCAAACAGAATAGTTTCAGGATCAGTCCCGGTGCCATTTATATACCTAGGTAACCGAATTTCTCTAACAATAGGGACAATAACAGAGACCATAGTCTTACAAAGTGCTTATCTGCCATTAAAACTTAATAACACAGTGCTATTAACATACATATCAAAATAACGCAACTATAAACGGAGCAACTCGTCAAGTACAAGAACCAAGCGCTGTTCACAATACCTAAAACGGATTACAGAAACATATCCATGCGGGTTATAACGACAGAATAAACGTTCCTTTTAAAACATTTTAAAATTCCAAGGAATTCCAGCTGTTTAAATTGAAGCTATTCGTTTGGATATAGACCCATCCAATATCTGTACTGTTCATTTGGACACAGTTGGAACATGCAACAATAAATAAAAGTAATAAAATACAGTCAATCTACCGGAGTAACTTTAGGATTTAATCACAGTCATTACGATATTCCAATTAAAGACATTAATCTTAATTAGTCAGCACAGCGAAATTGTGGGCCGTGCTCCAAAATAATCAAAACAGTTTCGAGTGCTACATATTAGTCGCCTCTTACGACAGGCAAGTCTTATCTCGAGAAACCCCTTTCTGGCAAGGCTGTTAGGTACAGTACGTGGAATACAGTTCGGGAGGAAGCATTACTTAGAATATAAAACCAGATCAATCATTCTAACAGTAATTGATATCAATCGAAAGTATGTACAACTCATGGTGCCGAAACCGTCGGCCAGAGAAGCGATAAAAATACTTAGCTATCCGTGAAGCACCCTAAGCTGGATGACCTCATTGATTACTGATCATGGAAACTTCAGGCATCACCTCAAAAAGACAAATCTTGTTAAGGAGGACACTTGCGGACTATGCCTAAAAGAAAAGAAGACAGCGGTGCATATATTGTGTCAATATTCAGCACTGGCAAGCAGGAGGATGACTGTCTCGGGACACCATTGGATTGGTATTGACTTGGCAGCAAACCTGAAGCGGAAACCACTTTAGCTTTAAATCAACAACGAATTTCAAGAATCGAAGGACAAAAAAGAACTCAAGTCGTTTCGTTATCTACTTCGACTAATCTTTCATTTTAGTGGGGCCACTTGCTGGATGGTATGCTGTCCCAACATCCCACAATATATATATCTACAACTTATGGGTACATAATTTTTAAGTGAACACATTATCATTATGGCAAAGGACATTTCTTCGGAAATTTAATAATTAATGCTTAAGTAGCTGCTCTTTATAACTCGATACTGAATGCTTCCCGCCAAAAATCGAAACGTCCTATTACTTTATGTTATTTTTGTCACTTTTTATTCTTTTACCAATGACCTACTTATTATTTTTGTACGACATTTTAAACTTTTGTTTTTTTGGTTAATTATATAAAAATTTAATACAATTTAATTAATAAAAGTAGCTTTAAGTTATTCTCTTTTACGATCCAATACTTTACTTACTGAGAATGTTAAAATATAAATTAAACCCCATTTGCTCAAACAGTTGGTCTTAATGAAATATTCATTGCAAAATTCTCATTAAATAATTTAACTTAGGGAATCCCCTTTTTCTATTCTAACAATTTTTAACGACAATTCCAACTAAGAAAACTGATAAAATGATTTCAACTGAATTTACAAAAACACTAAATAACACAAACAAAAAATTATTAAGAATTTATTAATATTAAATTGCAAAACTTAATTGCAATTGTGTGTGTGTGAGTTCTGTGTGGGGCTTATGAAAAATAGGGAATAAATCCCATCGATTTTCAGCAGCATTGGCACTTTTTCAAATGGTGCACAAGCACCCAGAATTTAATATGAAACCGGCAAATCACTTGACCGTTAGCAAGCAGGCAGGCAGGCAGGCTGCTCTAGATTTTATTTTAAGCAACGTAAGATTTGCACTGTTTACAGTACGAAATTAAAAAATAGAATAGGAAAAAGGTGAATATACGCAATCTCAGCAAAAATAACAAAAATAATAAAAAACAAAAACAGGAATAAAATTTTTGTTTCACTTACATCGAACATTAGAATATATTTCCACTTAAAGTATTAAACGCGGCACAGCTTAATTTTCGCGTATATGCATTTCCTCACATTTGTTGGAGGTGGTGTGGTGTGGTGTGGAGGTTGTGAGGTGGTATTTAGGGTGGTCGGGAATATGCGGGCTCTTCTTTTTGCGGAGGTGGTCGATTTATTTTTAGCCAATGCTCACTTGTTCCGTGAGTTTCGCGTTGCTTAAAATTTCTTTATTTAACTTTTTTTATATTAAATTTTTAATAGGACTAATAGCTTCAGAATTTTTCAAAATATTCACATCACAACAAAAACACTAAAATTTAGTACAATTCACTTTATTTTTATTTTTAGCAGCTTTATTGCGTTATATATTTGTGTAATAAATTGCAATCACTTCAAAAATATATGCACTCTCACGATTTAAATACTTTGTATATTTTACAAAAAATTTTTCCAAATATTTTTAATGTGTTAAAATTGATTATATATTAATTAGAAACGATTAATTTTTAATATGTGTATATATGATTTTTAATAATTATTATTTTGCACTATGCGATTACGTACAACCGTTTTCATTTATGTTTCTGCCGTAATACTGATTTCTGTCAAAATTTACTCTCTAATTGATGATGTCAAATATTTTTGTATAATAAAAGAGTTGCCAACACATTTTTGTTACACAAAGCACAAATTGTACACAAACAACGAGGAAGTGCTAGTTGAAGTTCCTCATAATAGAGTTTTGAAATTACTCTATTAGACTTTTTCTTTTGTAAGCATTTCGCAAAAGAACAACATAAAATAAGCACTACTCTTAATGTCAACTCTGGAAGAATTGGAAATTTTGTTACGCTTATGTATGTAAAACACGTTTATGTAATAAAATTTAAAATTACAGATTCGAAAATGAGTAATAATAATTCTTTATAATTCAGAATAAAAATATTTTATTTTTTACATAATTGTAAATAAAATTTGTATTTTCAGACTTTTTCAATGTTAACAGAAAGAAGTAGTAAATTAAAAAAAATTGAGTGTTATTGGTCAAATATTTGCTGACAGTTAGGTGGAAATTTTCTACGTTCTTCTAAAAACAGTTCACAATAAACGAACTTTTAGTCTTGCCAACCATGCGATTTCTGAAACACAACAAATGTGTTATTGTCAATTCAGATTTTAAATAAAATTGTATAATGTTTGTAAGTGCTGTATAAATTTTTGAATCAATAAATAATAATAAATGCGATTTGAGCTGCTTATTAGTTAAGTAGTTTCAAAAAAGTTTGTCTAATTAAGCCCGCTGTGTTGTTTCATATATTATTTTTAAAAGAAGCGGTTGTTTTTTTATGATATTCTTACAAAAGAAAGAATATCATAATTCATTCGTTAATTACTTATTAAGGAATTTATAATTTCTGTTTATTATGTTCATAACAAAATGCAATACATGAATAAATACAAAACACAAGCTTTTAATATAAGCAAATATGTTAGTTATAACACAATTACAAGAAAACTAAAACAGTGTTAAATACTGCTAACTTAGCATTAACTAGTGATGTTAGAAGTTTGAAAATTATATTAACGAATTAATTCACGATCTCGTATTGCATATAAGTGTATTTATATAAAAAATTTTGTATAAAATTTAATCGCAAATCTGTTTGAATTTTTTTTTACATCTCTTATTTTTACTGGTTGATGCAGTATTATTAAAATTGACGGCAATAATCTTAATTATTCAGACATTCGGAGGAATGAAAACATATTAAACGTTCAGGAAAAATATTTTATATATTTCATTTAATATAAATGAAATGCAAATTAGAAGGAAATCCGAATTAGCAGAGACTCCGCACTAATTATTTTAAATAATAGTGACAAGCTTATCTTTGAGTTTCAATATGAATTATTATAACTATAAATCCAAAATACCAACGCTTACTTCATACGTTATTTGCAGGTGTAACTGTTATTTGTGGATCGTATTCAAAAACCTAGTAATTCATTGAAATAGTTTCTATAATAACTAGTGAACTTCATCATTAATTAAAAATTTGAGTTTCTCACTTTGCCTCAATTTAGTTATTCTACTTAAAGGTTATCATGCAAATTAAAATTTATTTTTTATGTATTTTCATTTTAATTTTATTTATTAGTAATAAAATTTAGTTTGTACGAATTTATTGGGAATTTAAGTCAAATTTTTCACATAAGCAAAAAATTGGAATACAAGATTTGTTAGTTTTTTTATGTATAATTTTTAATATTATTATTTTAATTTATTTATAAATTTTGTTCAAATATGAAATTTATTATTATATATCTCAAATTTTAAAAAACATATTTACTTTGTTAGTACAATATAGTTTATTATTATTATATATTATATAGTTATTATATATATTAATATTATATATCAATATTATATTATATAGTAGTACGTAATTATTGTATAGTTTATTTTTTAGTTACAATTATTTTTCATTACGCGAAAATTTAAATTAAGAGTTCGTATAAAATATTCATACATAAAATGCGAAAATTTTTTTACGTACTGTACTTCTAGACACACGTGAAATCAGCGTCAATCAGCTGTTTTCATAAACGTTCAATGAATTTGTTATTCACATGTACACAATTTTGTGAAGAAAATAAATATTTTGCAAGATACATAAAAATATTAAAACTGTTTTGTGATTTTAATAAATATTTATGATTATTTGCATTTTGCAATAACAAGATTTTTTCACATTAAATAATTATCAATATTAAATACAAATATGAGCGATATGGACTTAGGATTTCCGGAGCAATGCGAACCGGGTTGGTTAACAAATCGTTATTTTCCAAGTAAAGTAGGCGGTAAACCAGCTTGGTTAGAGCTGGACTTATTACCAAGTAAAGAGGAAATGTTTTGTGATGAATGCAAAACTCCAAAAACATTTTTATGTCAGGTAAAGAATATTGCACTTAAAATTGTTTTCCAAATAAACACACATAATATTCCTTTAGATCTATGCACCATTTGGAGATGAACATAATTTCCATCGTACTATTTTTGTTTTTGTATGCCGCACAGCAACATGTCAGAAAGCCAATACAGCAAGGTTCGTGGTTCTGCAACAAATTTTTGGTTAACAATAAAATTTTCATTTTGTGTATTAGCAATTTAATGGTTTTAAGAAGTCAACTGGCAAAAAAGAACAAGTTCTACTCTGAGATACCGCCAGATGAAGATGCTGATGTTTTGGTAAGGAGTTGAAAATATTTTTAAATGGTCACTAATCAATGCTATTAACAATGATTTTATGTAAATTTTGGAGTAGATGAAATACTGATATGGAATTTTTATTCCACACTAATTCTTTTCATGTTTCTTGAAATGTTTTGCACTCCAATACGCATTCTTTTAACACTTTTAAAAACTACAGTCTGCTTAAAACATATATCGATTTATTTAGATAGGAAATATAGGTTCAGAAGAATTTTAGTACCTTTAGCGCCACAAATTCATCTCCAAAAACGCTAATAAATATATATTTCAAGTTAATAGGATTTCTTATAAAAGTGTTTCGGGACTTAAGTAGCAGTCAGGTCTACTTCCTGGAGTCATTCATTATGCATACCCCCATGTGGCACTCACCCCTTCTGTCAAGAATCAAACATTTTATTGGCTGACTCAACTAAATGTAGTGTGCTCATCCTCAACGGCACTATGTACTCTAGACAATCTCTGTAAAAGTTAACAATTTACCGTTTATTCACGTAATAATTTCAGAATGACATTTGCAGTTTAATATAAAAAGATCTCATCTCTTGAATCTGCAATATATATTTTGTATAATTATATATTTACAAAGTATTCTTATATCCAATTATGGTTCCATCTTGGGAAGTTTGTTTTACTCGCTTTTCCAACGAGTGTTGGAATTTCGAAAACGGTGGTGGGTGCCAGTTGAAAATCGATAAAGACGGTTAATTTTGGGGACATAGATCTTATCGTTAATAAGAATTAAATATTGATTATATTGCAGTTTCTTAATTTCGTAATAGGTCTGATCTGCCTAGTGAAAATTCTCTCCAAAAACTATTAGGAAAATGTGGAAATTTAGAATAAGAATCGTATTCTAGATTGTTAGAGGAGATAATTAGAGTTCATATCATTCGACTTTAATTAGTCCATATAGATGTTTATTGCATATATTTGAAATTATAAATTGTCGATTGATGGTGTTGGTAACAGTTAGCACCTTTACTCCTTTTGGGCGCTCCTCAATTTTTCTTAAGGATTGTCCTATATTTTTGTGGGTTCTTGTTTTTGTTATTAAATGATTGCTTAATGTTGGGCGTTGAAAGTTAGTTGCTAATTTTGTAGAAGGTGTAATGGCGATGAAAAGAAAGAGACAATTGCGTATCTTCTCGTCTTTGCGTTTTCTTCCGTCTTGTTTTTGTTGTTATTATTATGGTAGCCCGCAGGGATCTGGAAACCAGGTATCATGAAAGAATTCCACGAATACATGGGTTTTGATGTGAATGGATAACGATTGAGTAAAGATGAAGAGGGGATTAGAGGGTAAGGATGGATGGGATTTAAATTGAAATCAACCTGGGTCCAGATGGAAAAACCTACCTTAATAGGGTGGATATCAGTTGTATATATATAGATAAGGTTGTGTATGGGTAATGGTTAAGTGAGGGTGAGATTAGGGAGTGGAGATGGGTGGGATTTAAAATAAAATCAACCTGGCTCAAGACGGAGAAGCCTACTTCAATAGAGTGGATGCCTGCTGTATAAATTCCCACGGGATATCACAACAATAACATTGAGTTTCTTCTCTGCTAGAGTTTCTTCTCTGGCCCTAAGCTTCACGAGGAGAAGAAGTCAACAGTGAGTTAGTAAGAGAAAGTATTCTTGAATAGTTTGGGCAAAATTGTCAAAATGGTCTTAATACCTGTTTTGATGTTTAAAAAGCTCTGTGGTTAGTTTGCCGGGGAAACGTGAGTAATTTTTTGAAATGGAATTTGGTGGAATTATACCGGACCAATAAGCTTAAGTTTGTCATAATGAATGATAGACTTACCTATTTTACTTTTTATTGAATAAGTCTTTTTATAATTATATTTTAAAAAGTGCTTGATCGGTTGATTACCTAGGGACACATTAATTAAACAAAATCTAATTATAGCTAATGGCACTTATATGGTTCTAAATAATATTCTTAATTTCTTTTACAGCCAGCTATAATGCCCAACAAAAAGTTGTGCATAGTTTGCGGATGTTTGGGACAACTCCAGTGCAGTCGTTGCAAAAATGCTAACTATTGTGCAGCAGAGCATCAACGTGCACACTGGCCACATCATAAAACGATTTGTTCTGCGGCTAATGTAACAGAAAACGAAGTAAACAAAATTAATGCGATTGCATTTCCAAAATTACTATTTCCAGAATATGAAATCACTATAGAACCATGTGATGAAAACAATCGTGTAGATTTGGACAAAGATGATGAGGCCAAAGAAAAAGAACAAATGGCTGAATATGAAAAATTGGCTGCTGAAGGTAAAACAGGTGCATTAAATAATGTACCAGATGGGGAATTAGAAAAATATGCTGGTGGTACCTCAACGGGTATGGATGATAAATATTTCCGTAAGTTCAAGAAAACTATGTGGAAACAGGAAGCACAAATTTTACGCTATAAACGTAATGGTGAACCATTATGGATAAGTAATCCAGAAAAGACTATAGCAGCACATTTGGTTATACCTAATTGTGAGTTATGCGGTGGACCAAGACAATTTGAATTTCAAATTATGCCACAAATGCTCTACATATTCAATAATGAAGCCATCGATTGGGGTGTATTGGCTGTATACACTTGCGTCAATAGCTGTAAGATACCAGAAGATATTGGTTATGTCAAAGAATATATAATCAAACAAGATGTCGTTGATGATAAAAAATAGCATTTCAGTTAGTATAAGTAAAATTGGCAATCCTTTAAGTCCATGATAAGAGTAAAATTATTACAAAAAGCTAAACAGAACTGACTCAAGTGTGAGAAAGTCTGTATTATATTTAATCTTTATGGTAATGCAATTTTAATCTGTGAAATCTCAGCTATTGAGATATCTAAAAATCGACTACATATAACTTTTAACTCTAAATGTTCTATATAAATCATTATCCTGTTGAACGTAATTTAAATGTCTTAAGAAGGCACATTTTGTTAGTTTGATATACTAAATACAGTTTTAAAACTTTAATTTGAGATGTACTACATTTTTATATTTACACGATCTTTAATTACTATATAAAGTTTTAAAAAGCTTTACATACGATATGGTTATCAATCATTTAAGCAATTAAAAATTATTCAAACTCAGTGGCTGTCTTACCAAGTCTAACTTACTGAGTGTATTTAAATTTAATCTCGCTTATATTTAGAGCAATAAGTAAAGTACTAACTGCATGAAGCAGCAAGACTAATATTATTAAACATTTTTATTTAAATATAATTTTATGTTTTAAAAGAAATAGAATCGTTCCAAAGGCTATGCACCATATGGAGAAACCCAACAGTTATCTACTGGTTATAACAAGCCACTAGTGTCGCTCGCTAGAGCAGTTTAGATTCTAACATTTCTTTACTAAACATATGTGTCAGACCTGGTCTAAATCCTTGCTTATGCAATTCTACCGCCATTGGCATTGGAAGAAACTAAAAATTTCATTCTTAATTCTATTACATATTTTGTTTTTTTATTATATTTTGCAAACAATAAAATGACATATATTTGTATTATTATTAAATTAAAATATATTTACGTTTACAAACTTATTTGTAGTATTAATTTGATGAATTATATTAAACCGAAAAATGCTACAT